AGTCCCGCTAACTAAAATTCAAACCTTTTTCCCAATAATAATTAAAAACCCTATTTCCTAAAAATGCACTTCTAAACCTAGTATCCTTGTGAACAAGGTAGATAAGGGGTGTCTAACATCTTCCCCTCATCTAGAACCGAGTCCAAATCTAGAATCTCTGAAAATTTTTAGGGTTATTCCTTTATACTCCCTTCCTTTAGGATAAAAATTAAGGGTGGTGACTCTGTATTTAAAACCAGTTGCAACAGGAACATTTGTTTTTTTTATTGTGATTTGTTGGAGTTTAATACCATGTTTGTTGGAGTTTTGAAGTTGTGGAAAGTTGAACAATACAACTCCATTTAATTACATTATTAAGAGAATAAATTTGAGAATCACTATATGATTATTACTATATTTAATGATTTTTCCTCCACAGTGAGCCTAATGTATGGCGAGCGTGTGATGACAGATGTTATATGTTCTTTATAATTCTGCTGCATGTTGCTAAATATTTTCGAATTGTTGAAGGTTTATCATCGTGACACCTTAAATCGCCGAGTAAGTCTTTAATTATAAGCTTTAGGATTTAGGATGTTTCATTTAGCCTGGACCTACTCTAGAACTTTAGTAGGCATGTCCACAAATTTCACTCCATGTACGTCTAGTGAAAGAGCGTTGATACAACCATGATCTCTCTCTTACTTTCTGTAAAAACACCTTCGAGAGATATCTTTGTCTCCTTGAATCACCCTAACGCGTATGTCTGGTATGTGATACTTCATTCATAGATACAAGGTCGATAGGGTTACACCCAAGAGGTTGAAAGCTGGCTTACGTATGATTATAATATTCGAAGAAGGGACGTCTGTCACAAGGTACCTGACCTTGATCATTTTCACATTTTTATTCAACCCAAACCTTGTTTTGATGCTGATGTATCCCTTCAAACCTTTCGAGTATGTCCTAATACAAAATATCTATAGAATTCCTCTATTCAATGAGCACTCGCTTGATCTCCAAGTTTTCATATTATACTGTTTTGAATGTGGTATCTTTGTTGTGGAAATAAAACCCAATGACATCATTTTCAGAGAAGGTGGTCTCAGGTTCTAGAGTATTTTCTAGGCCCAATTTGGAGTTGGTAGGAGAATCTTCTACAAATATAACTTGTTTGGAGTATCTTCTTTATGAGGAGATGAACTCACCACACCCAATGAACCCTCCAATTAGGGTATTGAGAGTGTGGTGGTCTGGTTGTTCTTCCTTTCTTCCCCCACTCTTTGCCTTTTTTGAATATAGTACTTTCTAATGGCTCTCATCCCTACGATATGGATCCACCACTGTACTAGTAGGAGCTTCTCTACATGTATTTCTTCACTTCTCTCTCTTGAATAACCCATTTGATCTCCTTCTTCATTTTTGTAGCAATCCTCCATGTGGTAACTGTTCACTTTATGATACTTGCACCATATGCTAGAATTAGGCTCGGGATCAGGCCTTATAGTGTCATACTTGCAGGCCGACTAAGAGAGGATATCGTGAGTGTGAAAGAGTTTGTGATGTATCTGTTTCTTGCAAGTGTTGAGTTATGTAAAGCTTTCGGTGGGTCTCCCGCTATATTTGAAGGTCTCCCAATTTCTTACAAGCAAAGTGTAGTGACTCCTACGTTGTTACTTCGATGCATCAGGGGTGTCAGATGTTTTTTCCTTGGCATCCATCACCTTTTTCCTCTCCATTACTCTATTTTCTCTTGATATAGCATTTTTTTCCGCACCATGATTTTTGTAAAGGAATTCGTTGGTCTCTAGGCGAGGGACTCGTTAAAATGTCAGACCCTCAAACCATTCTAGATTTCCCTTACGAATATTTATAGGTTTAAATGTATGAATTTGATGGTTTCTTCATTAAAATGGACGAGATGCTCCATCAACAAGTCAAAGGACTTTTAGTGGGTGTTAAAGAGGCTTGTGGTTGATATTTTATGGTGGTTACTTGCAGAGAACTGGTGGATTAATTTCTTTACCAGGTTCTGGTAACTAGTAACTGACGGGTGCAATAAGTTTGTGTACTATCTTAGCACAATGCCCTTGAAAGTGCTAGAGAGTGGGTTGCACTTCAAGGAGTCATTGGCACCGATAATAGCCATATGAAAGTTAATATAGGCATCATGTTTCTGAGAGACGCTCCTTCCATCAAACTTCGTAAGTGAGGGGAATTTGAAATATTATAGCACGACTCTTCCCCTAAATTTTGCTGAAAAAGGCTATCGGTCCAGGATATCAATTTCCTCAACCAGATCAACCTCCTGCTGGTGATGCTGAAGGTTGGTGACAATTTTCTTCCAAAGTTATATATTGCAGCGGCGCATTCCATAACAACTTGCATTTTAATTATAATTTAATAATCACTGTGTGAACTTATGCTGACTGATGTGATGCCTCGTATTTATACCATCTTAAGAGTGGTAGTTGAAACAGTTTCTGAATTAAATATAAGTGTGACCTAAGTTAGTTTTACTTAATTCCTATTGTGTGTTAATATACTTGCTAAAAATACAATAGTGAGATCCTTACGTGGCGATGGTAAAAAATCCTATGTCTTCTCTCTGAAATTTTATGTCTCCTTTTTACCTTAGAGGATATGGCATTTATAAAGATCCGATAGATTTAGTTAGGAGTGGCTTTCATAGTTCCATCATCAGAAACGTGAGGCAGAGAAGACTTAAGACATCAAAAACATGGGGCAGAAAAGATTAAAGACTCATTCTCTTCCAAGTCGTTGGTAGGCGATTTCCCTTTTCATTGATATCATTCAACTATTAATCCCCAATCACATGTGACAAGTAAGACATATTCTAGGTGGTGGATCCGAGCTTTATCAAACAACTCACTGTACTCTGCAGGCGACCATATAACTTCGAGTACAACCCATTTCAAGCGGCTTTCCAATTTAGGGAGTTTTTCCTGCCCCTAGCTCAAATCTATCCAGGGCTGGTCCTGAGGTAAGACAAACAGGCCTACTGCTTAGGACCTCTAAATTAAAAGGGTTTCAAATTTTTTTTATTAATACTCATTTAATTTAGTTTAAACAATAGTAACCTAATAATTTTTTTTACTTCTTCCTCTATACGTTGTCCACCTCAATTCAATACCTTTCCATCTCTCTCTTAAACAACAGAAGGGGAAAATAATAGAAAGGTTAATTCTTAGTTCTTACCTTGTTGTTGGGTGATTGTATCGATACATAACAGTGCAATATCCTACTTTTTGTTCAAATTATTAGACTAAATTCAAAAGCTGCGTCTCTTTGTTGCAGTGTCTTATTTTAAAAGTTTTATCAACATAATCATTACTAAAGTAAACAAAAAAAATTATTTTATCTTTTCTTTTTTCTTTGATGTGCTCCTTTCAATTAATTATTATTAATCATTATTGTTAATTAAAAAATAGATAAAAGTTACAGTATCACAAAAAGATACAATAACTGAAGAAAAAAAAATACAATAACTTTAATTTTTCTAATTGATAGATGATAATTAATGTTGTTTAATTGCTAATCTGTAATTTTATTTATATAATTAACTAATTTTATTTTTATGTAAATGTTAATTTTATTTATTAATTATTGCTTAATTTTTTTATTTATTGGTTTTACTTCAATGGTGTAGGAATTTATAATCCACTTTAAATGTTGCAAAATTTATCTATTCAATTTCAATAATGCAGAATTTATCAACTTTTCAATATTGCAGAATTTATCAACTTTAATTTCAAATTTTAAATTTATTTTTATTATTCCTCTATATTTCTTAAAATTAGAAAATTTGATTTTGAATATGAGAAACGTAAGAAAATAAGTTTAATAATATTAATTAGAATATGACATTTTTATTATGGTAGTTAATAATTTATATAAATGATATTCTTTTTTAAAAAATTATATTTTTTATTAAAATCTTTTTATTTATTTATCCCGGACCTCAAAAAAAAGTCAGAACCGGCCTAAATCTATCATAGCATATATTCTCAAATAAATTATCTCCAAGCTCAAATCTATCATAGGCTATATTCTCAAATCAATTATTCCAATTCAATACTTCTTGTGTTCTATAATGAATAATCCAACCTATCATTTTACCTCGATTAAAAAAATATATAAAAATAAGAGATAGAATAATATTATTATGTATTAAGAAGGATGAATTTTTTATTAATTAAAAGAATAATATTTTTATCATAATCTCTTTATTATATATTAAAAATGATAAAAAATTTATTGATTAAAAAAACACAAAAAAATATTAAAAATTAAAATAAAAATCACATTTAAGATATTATTTTATTTTAAATGAATTAAATTAATAGAACAGAGAGAGTAAATTATTAATTTTATTCTAAATAAATCATCTATAATTGATAAAATAGAAAGAGTAAATTATTAATATATATATATATATATATATATATATATATATATATATATATATATATATATATATATATATATATATATATATATATATATATATATATATATATATATATATATATATATATATATATCGTTCAAATACTAAATATTATTATATGGACATATAAATTCCTTTTTTTAAATGTCTTCCAAATAAACAATTCGATATTAGATAATCATGATGCATCTGAATTGTACTATCTAGATCTTTTTGTTTTTGTTTTTTTATAATACTACTATAACTATCTAGATCTGAATTGTACTATCTAGATAAGACAGGAAAAAAAAGGCAATTTAAAATTTTTATTAAGATTTGAAAAAACGTATATTGTAATAATCAACCTCAAATATTACTACATGAAATGCATATCAAAGCCAACGTAGTTGAACAACAAAATACATTCAGAAGTTACAGCACAAACTGCACAATGAACATATATTCCCACACAAATGATACTAGTACATCAGAATCAGAACTATATATAACAAGAAATGAGAAATTGAATAAACAAGATACAATAAATAAATAGGAGTACAACTAAAGTAAGTTAGATGGGAATAGCATTGGTAACTTTAGGGTATACAACAGTAGCAGGATGACCCATGATTCTGCGACCCTTCGTATGCTTAAAGCAATACACCAGAGCCCCCACCGGCCACTCCACCACTGCCGCTGCCACAAACGCCACGAACCCGAGTGTAGGCCCCACCACCTTACACCGGCAAGGGTTACTCCTTGTGCCACATTCCACGCAAATTGGAACCCCTACTCCAACCATCTTCAATCTAATGCTAGTAATGAAGTGAAATTTTTTTGAGTAATAAAGAAGTACACTACACAAGTTGGTGGTTCTTGTTGGAGTTTAGGATCGTGTTCTTAACTTTTTATAATGTTTGGTTGGTTTCGTTTTTGCACGTGGAGTTGTTTTTGTGCTGTTACGTGCTACTGCTACGTGTCTGCAAGTGAAGTATTATTGGTGCACGTGTCAGTACTTGCTTCGGATTATTGACATTTGTTTTTGTCTCTTATTCCCTCAATACTTTATGTGGACCCTCAAGTGCCAACTCTAATTATGGATTGGGGTAATCATATTATCTCTATTTTAAGTTTAAAATATTTTTGTATGTCATTTGGGTGACTTTTTTTTCTTCCATGTTATTTTTTTCGATTCCATTTTACAATATAATATTACAAGGTGACATTGTAAAATAGGATTTATAGAAAACAAATTTTAAACTCAACAAAAATGTCTTTAATATTTTTTATAAAGTTTTTCTAAATAATGTATATATGTTTATAGGTTTATTATTTACACATCGGGTGTTTTAAAAACAATAAATTTATATTATACAAGGTCCTTTAATTTAATTTAAAGTTTGAGTCTTTTAATTTAATTTAAAATGTCATGTTATTTATTATTTAATAATCTGTTATTTTAAAGATGTTTTGACTGTTAGATTTAATTTATATTTTAGAAATATTTTTTGAATATTAATCTATATTTTAGAAATATTTTTTTAGAAGATATTATTATATTTTTTTATATTTTTGTTAGAGGATATTTAGGATTTTATTTTGTGTATAAATAGTCTAGTGGGGTAATTCAATGTAATTCATTGTAAATTATTATTCTTTATTTTTGTAGCCGTCATTTATTATATTCTTTTTGTCTTTCATCTTTTCATCATGCACCAATAATTGGTATCTAGAGCTCTGGTTCTAAATCCACGGGAAAAAGGGAAACACGAGAGAACAGTGGGGTGTTGTGTGATAATCGTTGTTTCTGATTCTGGGGATTTGAAAAACACTGCTTTATTGAATTTCTGCGTAAATTGCACAAGGTAGAAGATGAACGGAAACAGTGGTGATGCCCATTTCAAGCTTATAGTATTTGATGGCAAAAATTAGAATCGTTGGAAGATCCAGATGCGCGTGTTATTTGGTTCTCAAGATGTGTTAGATCTTGTCACCGATGACTATGATCTGTTAAAAGCAGACGCAACAGGCGCACAAAAGATAACACAGAGGTCGCTAAGGAAGAAAGATCTGAAGGCGTTGTTCTACATCCATCAATACGTGGATGCAAATGTGTTTGAGAAGATTGTTGATTCTGAAATAGCAAAGGTTGTGTGGTACACACTGGTCAGATGTTACGGTAGTGACACATCAGTGAAGAAGGTGAAGCTTTAGTCTCTCAAAAAGCAATATGAGAATCTCAACATGAAGGACAACGAGAAGGTTTGAGTATATCTCTAGAGTGATTATGATCACTAATAAGATGAAAGCTTGTAGAGAAACTCTTTTTGAACAAATAATCATTGAGAAGGTCTTGAGATATTTAACTTCTCATTTTGATTACATTGTGGTAGCAATTAAATATTCCAAAGATCTGAGCACCATGAGAGTTGAAGAGCTGCAAAATAGTCTAGAGGCTCATGAGTTGCGTATAACTGCGAGAACTTCTGAGAGGGAAGTAGAGCAGCAGGCTCTGAAAGTAACTTCTGGTAAGAAGTATCAGAAGCAGACTTGTTCAGAAGCCAAGAAGAAAACCAAGGGTGGTCAAAGGTCAGAAGCTTCAAACTCTGATAGGCAAAAGAATGTCCAGAAGGGAAAAGAATAGTCTGACAAGAAGAATGTCCAGTGTTACTGTTGCAAGAATTTTGGTCACTATGTCAAAGATTGCTGGTCAAACAAAGAAAGGAAGTCAAAAGAAGCAAATATAGTCAGAGGAGAGTCAGATGATATAAAAAACATGTGCTATTGTTGGCTTCTGAACCTGATGATCTGAATGCATCAGAATGGTGATATATGGATACAGGGTGTTCAAACCATCTTACTGGAAACAAGAAATGGTTGGTTGATTTTGACTCTGGGAAGAGTACAAAGATCAGATGTGCTGATGATAAATACCTTAATGCAAAAGGTATGGGAAATGTCAGAATCATTCTAAACAATGGGAAAGCAGCAGTGATCTAGAATGTATGGTATGTAGCAGGTATGAAAAGCAATCTGATGGGTGTGGGACAACTGATTGAGAAAGATTTTTCAGTTATCATGAAGGACAATCTTCTGAAGCTGTATGAATGTAATCATAAGCTGATTATGGAGTCAAAACAGGGAAGAAACAGAACATTCAAGGTGAATGTTAGAACTGCAGACTCTGAATGTCTTAGTGCAACAAGTGTTGTCAAGGAGAGTGAGTTGTGGCACAGAAGATTTAGTCATCTTAATTTCAGAAGTTTAGGGCATCTGAAATCAAAGAATCTGGTACATGGAATTCCTACAATCAAGAAGCCTAAAAAGTCATGCAAGGTATGCATGGAATGGAAGCAACCAAGATTACCATTTGCATCAGAGTAGCTCCAAGAGCAAAACATGTCTTGGGAGTAGTGCATTCTGATGTGTGCGGTCCTTTTTCAGTAGCATCAACTAGAGGGAATAAATATTTTGTGTCATTTGTTGATGAGTTCACCAGAATGACATGGGTATCTCTCATAAAAGGCAAGAAACACGTGTTTCTGAAGCTGGTAAAGACTCTGACTCTGAAGAAGATACAGAAGGAGAAGATGATTCTGGCTTTGACTCCAGTGGTGAGCCAGACTCTGAAGACAATCAAGGTTCTGGAGAAAGTCCAATTTCTGAAGCAAGTGCTTCTGAAGGGGAAAGTTATAGTGTCCAAAGTTCTGAAGGTCAAGTTCAGAGGCAACAAAGATTCAGAAGCATCCCAAGAAGATTTACAGAGTTTGACATGTTGCAAGACACGGAAGTAGACTCTGAAGGAGAAGTTATTCAGTGTGCAATATTAGTAGACTTTGAACCCGTGAGTACAGAAGAGGCTATTAAGCAACAATTTTGGTTACAGGCTATGAAAGAAGAACTTGATGCTATAGAGAGAAACAAGACTTGGAAGCTGACATAACTTCCAAAAGGCAAGAAAGCCATTAGCGTTAGATGGGTTTTCAAGTAGAAGATAAAGCCAGATGGATCAATTGGTAAACACAAAGCAAGATTAGTAGCAAGAGGCTTTCTATAGAAGCTTGAGCTGGATTACTTTGAAGTGTTTACACCTGTAGCGAGACATGAAACAATCAGACTAATGATTACAATAGCTGCTAACAGGAATTCGCCTCTAATGCACTTAGATGTAAAATCTGCATTTCTGAATGGTCCACTACAAGAAGAGGTATATGTATCACAACCTCCTAGATTTGAGAAAAAGAACCAGGAAGGGATAGTGTTAAAATTACACAAAGCCTTGTATGGATTTAAGCAAGCGCCCAGAGCTTGGAATTTGAAGATTGATTCGTTTTTCAAGGAACAAGGATTTCAGAAGTGTGAGATGGAGTATGGTATTTATGTTCAGCACACTTCGTAAGGTAATATGATTCTGGTCTGTTTGTATGTTGATGACATATTACTCATAGGAAGTTCTGAACAAGAGATATCTGAGTTCAAGAAAGTTCTGATGAATGCGTTTGAGATGACAGATCTTGGGAAAATGAGTTTATTTCTAGGGATGGAATTTATGTACTATGAGAAAGGAATCATTTTTCATCAGATGAAGTATGAACTCGAGCTTCTGAAGATATTTGATCTTGAGAATTGCAAAATTTCTATCACACCTGCTGATACGAATCAGAAGTTGGACTCTGATTCTGATGGAGAGGATGTGGATGCTACAACCTTCAAATAATTGGTTGGTTCTCTGAGGTATTTGTGTAATACCAGTCCTGATATTTGTTATGCAGTTGGAATGGTTATCATATTTATGAGTAAAACAAAGTGGTCTCATTAACAAGCTGCTGTTAGGATTGTGAGGTATGTAAAGGGAACTTTGAAGTATGGAGTGTTATTTCCGTCTGGAAGAAAGATCGAATCAGAACTTGAGTTATTTAGATTCTGATTGGTGCAGAGATAGAGTTGACAGAAGAAGTACTTTTGGGTACTTATTCAAATTTCTGAGAGGCCCTATTTCTTGGTGTTCCAAGAAGCAACTTGTTGTTGCGCTGTGAACTTTTGAAGCTGAATATATTACAGGCGCTCTGACTGCATGTCAAGCTGTGTGGATTCTGAACTTGTTGCAAGATCTGAAGATTGAAGTAGCCAAACCTCTGAAGCTGATGATTGATAACAATTTTGCAATCAATCTTGCCAAGAACCCGATGCTGCATGGGAGAACAAGCATATTGAGACCAAATATCATTTTCTGAGGAATCAAGTTCAGAGCGGAAGATTAGAAGTTATGCATTATAGCACCCAGAAGCAGCTGGCATATGTTCTAACAAAGGCTATCTAGACTGATCAATTTCTTCGCTTGAGGGATGGAATTGGTGTTGTCAGTTTTGGATAAAATATAAATTAAGGGATGGTGTTATATTTAATCTATATTTTAGGAATATCTTTTGGATATTAATCTATATTTTAGGAATATCTTTTAGAAGATATTATTATATCTTTTTATATCTTTCTTAGAGGATATTTAGAATTTTATTTTGTGTATAAATAGCTTTGTGAGGTAACTCAATGTAATTCATTGTAAATCATTATTCCTTATTTTTATAGCTGTCATTTAATATATTCATTTTGTCTTTCATCTTTTCATTGTGCACCAACATTAACAGCTTATAATGTATGTTGGGATTACTTGTGTCACTGAGTTAGTTGGTAAAAAATGTCGAGAGCCAAAGGAATAGGTAGTTTGGGTTTCAGAGGTATTAGCCATTTCAATGTTAGCCTCTTTGGTAAGCAGTTCTGGAGGCTTCAGTCTGGTGAGGACAC